TAGTGCAAATAGTATAGTTTTTAGTTATAAGAAAAGAATAGAAAACTAGTTCTCATCTATGCATGCAGAGCTAGTAGCTTGTTTAGTAGCAATTTTATTAGCAATTGAGAAGTATTTTAAGAATAAAAAGACATATGAGTGGTTAAAGTATAAAAACAATAACATTCTGTGTGCAATTAAGAAGGTTTGCAAAAGTAAATCAGTTTAGCTAATATTGACAAAGGTTAAAAGCCACTCAGATAATACATATAATGACTTTGCAGACACACTTGCAAAGGAAGGAATATACGAAGCAAACTGTATAGAGCTAAACAATATTAGCAATAGTAATATAAAGTTTATTTCTGAATAGAAAGAGCTTAGTTTGGAAACTCTACTAAGAGTTTTTGTTAAAAAGACAGTTTAAACAATATACAAGGCAGAATGGACTTGGCTAAAAAAGAAAAATGATACTAAACACCAAATAAGAATCCATAAACAGGACTGAAAAGCTTTCAAGAATATACTTGAAAGCTATCACAAACAATACCAAAATACTAAAATAAACTACTTGCAATTGTTCAAAATCAAATATATTGAAAATTTCCTACTAACAGTAGAAATACTAAACCTTAGGAAGCTAAAATTGTACAAAGATAGTCTATGCAAAAGATACTTAAAGGAAAAAGAAATGATTAAGCACTTAGTCACTTATAAAAAAGCACATTAAGTATTTAAAAAAATTAAAGATGAAGTATAGAAACGGTTTGACAAAGATAAAAGAAAAAAAGAAAACTAAGATTTAAGAAACATAGTTCAAGCAATTCAATATGAGCAGAAAACAAAACAACAATAGAGAAAAGAGTAGTTAAGAGGTATACTGTATGAAGAAGATGCTGAAAGAATCAAAAATATTATTAGATTTAAGAGCATAACAACTAGAATCTGGAGCCTGTTCTAGAACATCTAGATAGAACTAGTATATAAAGAAGTTTGAAAAAACCCATGCAAAAATATGGAAGCTTGAGAGAAAAAAGAAAAAATCTTTAAGAAGGAAAAATATGCTCAGAAGAAAAAAGGAAAAAATGTTCTAAAAGAAAGATTATCAAAGAAAAAAACAAACTGCAGAATAGATGAGAATACAGAAAGTTGTAACATTAGTTTTAAAATAGCAATAGATAGCATAGCAAGGAAAGTAAAGGAAAGAATTTTAACTAACTAGATGTAAAATTAGTTATGATGAGCTGTAGCATCCTTCCTATATTAATATGTAGTCTATTGTTTTTTAGCTACTTAAGTATAGAACAAAGATTACTATAGCAAATTGTACATAGGTATCTTTGAGATAACTAGGTAAATCAAGGCTTAAAAAATTAGACATTAGATAGTATATAGCTAAATAATACTGTTTTTAAACAGAAAGCAAATCTAAATAAAATCTTGCATGACTGCTGAATTAAAAAAAAAATATATATTTTTTATTTATTACTTTTGAGTTAGAATCTTTATTATATTAGAATTAGAGTTAGAGTGATAGTAAAGAAAGATTTATATCAAAATTTAGCAAGAAATTTTTTTAATTAAAACACCAAAAGAAGTTGTATATACTAAATTTTGAATTATTAAATATTTTTTAATAAATATAATAATTGCATTAATTTTCATATTACACCTAATTTTTTTTTGATTGGCTACAACACTCTAGCATTACAGTACTATAGCACTATAAATTAAAACTTATTAGATAATTAATAATCAATTTTTATATAATAATAGAATAATTTTGATAAACTATTTAAAAAAGTAACTCTATTACTATGCAAAAGCTAGTTGAGAGCTTCAAATTAAAAAAAATTTATGCTTTTTTGTTAAGTACTTGTGCTAAAAAAATATAAATTTAATTTTATAATTATTTTTATAATCATCTAGTATAGATCGTCAAAAAAATTAATGATAGTATTTTACCTAACAATGTTTGATTTTATTAGTTGAGGCGCAACTCTAGTAAATTACATATCATTTCTTCATAGGTTTCGTAATTCATTACAAGTTGCGTCATTCGTCATAAGTTGCGTCATTCGTCATAAGCTGCATCATTCGTCATTGCGTCGACTAGAAGAAATGGTTGCCATGCGTCAATGACGCAAGTTGCGTCATGCGTCAAACATCATTAATCGTAGATCTATCAGAAATGTAACCGCTGACCTGTCAATTTTAAAACTTTTGCATAGAATTTCCGGTAGCATTGTGTGTTCGGAGCACATGGTAATCATCATATTGCACAAACGCGTGATTGCATGTTTTTTGTTACACTAAAGTACAAATATAAACACGCGTCCAATAAATTTGCAGGATCAGGTGTAACGTGCAAATTGTTTTTTTAAAAAAAATATGCTAATAAAACCACCTCCAAAAAAAATTCCTTGCTAAAATTTACATATATATATCACCTTGTTAAAATCCCAGGCCTCGCCCTAACCCTAAAGTAAATGAAATGAAATCTTTGGCTAATTATACACCGCCGGTTATTTAAATTCTAATATAAAAATATCTCAAAAACGTAACTATTGATGCATCAAAAACGCAAATTTTGTATCAGACACTAAATGTCCTCCGCTACGTTCCGGACAATAAAAAAAACAATGTCCGCACAAACAACATCCATTCTCATGGCTTTCTATCATGTCATAGCGATTGAGAACTGGACTTACGTTAATATAACGAATTATTATCAAGAAAAAATAGGGAAAAACGAAAGGAAGAAAATACTTGATCACATAAAAAAAGATCTCAAAAAAGTATTAAATCCTAATTTTGATTTCGATATATTGCGTAAAAGAAAAGCACAAGAAATCCTTGATACTTGGAAGGTAATGTATTAGCGGGTATATTTGTAAGTTAAGAGCTCATTCTGAACAGTTATGAGCTCTTTGTTCGACACTTGGTGCAAGCTGGACTCTTTGTCTACAGTGATGAACTTTTTGTTCGACACCTGGTGCAAGCTGGGACTCCTTGTCTGAAAGGAATGAGCCTTTGAACAGTCATGAACTCTTTGTTCGACGCTTAGTGCAAGCTGGACTCTTTGTCTACAGTGATGAGCTTTTAGTTCGACGCTTAGCGCAAGCTGATTATTTTAATATCTAGAAGTTTTCGTTTTATGTTGCTATTGTGAAATGTTTCTTATGAGTATTATTAATCCCGAATCTTATTTGCAAAGAATTGGTCTTCACCAAAGAATTCAGATACAACTCTAGATTCGCATAATTCATGTGTGAAAATTGGAAATTTACAGGTGAGTTCCTCTTTTGAAATTTTATAAGGCAAAAAATATTGAATAGTATTTCATTAATTAGATAGCAACTGATTCTGCGACTCAGATCAACAATAATAATTGTCAAGATGTAAGAATAGTTATTAACTTTAAGATTAATCACATTACACGATTACATACTTTTGTCTAACGATTGTTTTAAATATAGATAAACTTTACATGCGATATTACAAAGGGAACTGAAGACGGTGTGAGGAATGTTAATACGGAGGTGTTATGATTACTTATATTTAATTTTGTTAAAGTTATTTGGCAAAAAAAGTGATAACATCAAATTTATTTACAGAAAAAGGAAGTACCG